AACATAATCAGATGTTAAAGACTGGTCTTCAAACATCATAGCCAATGATGCCTCGTTTGCCTATGATCTCGCCAATGTAAAACCACATCCACACCTCAGTGGCCACCAAACCATTCAGCAGAGCTTCCTGAAAAAGAAAGAAAAAAAATGGCACAAAATTTAAAGGTACACTTTTCCCTCCTCCTTTACACACTGAAAATATTCTCCTTCAAGATTAAGTGACACGGAATGTAAGGATGCTATTCAAACTAGAGGGCAGTTTTAGCCATAGTCAAGGATTACTGAGGTTAACTTTGTTCAATTGCCGAGAACCCTTGAAACTTTCAATTATGTAAGATAAGTAGTCCAGGACATATAAATCCTTTCAAAGCATTCTTTAAAGAGCTGAACTGACTTAACCCTTTCATAATTAGTTTAAGAGATACTTTATGAGCTCTAAAACCACCCACATCCTGGAAATAGCTGACACATTATAGACAAGGCATTCATAAGAAAGGATGACTGTAGGAAGGCAAATCAGAATAGACATTTCTGTCTGGCTATAGAAAGTCAGTTGGCTCCGGTGAACTCCCTCTACCCACAATTGAGGGATGGAGGGAAGTGGTCACTAAGTGGAGCGCACTGGTGAGTGGAGTATAGAAGGTCAAAGGCAAGTATGACTCGAACAGTTAAAACTTGCCAGCAGATTCCCCCTATGATGCATGCTAGACCTGATCTGGTTTCCAAAATCTCATGTATTTGGGGGTTGTATTATTTTATTATACATATTAGGGGCATCCCTGGAGTGTTGTCAGTTGGGGTGCAGGGGGTCACCCTATTGAAGTTGTGGTGTATGTTTCTACTTTTTTTTGGTGTACCGATGAACCTATAGTCAGTAAGTGGAATAAGGGTTTTGAGGATAAGGGGACAGAGGTGGTGAGGTGAAGGGGTGGTGACGCCAGGGGTTCATAAAGAAAAAGGATGTTTGGAAACGGATTGTGGTAGCAAATGTACAATTCTGCTGGAGTGATTGAACGACGGAATGATTTGATATATGTATTAATTCCAATTAATAATAATTTTAAAAATCTGTTGAGAGATAAAGGGCACTATCTTCCTCTTTAGATTGCTTTTTGTTTACTGATTGTTTGGCCCAACTCTTTAATACCTTTTCACTAAGATTTGGCATTTCTGAAAGGAAATTTACCCTTCAAATTACATAAAAGTTATTGGAAGTCTTCTGGAAAAACAATAACACTACAAAACCAAACACCATATTTCCAGTCCTAAAGTCAGTAATAATTTCATTATTTAGGCTTTTTGTAGTCGTCGCTTGGTTTAAGCACGTGAACACAAAATTCAAGGTCTCATTTGTATACTTTTTAGATATTATCATTATGTAATTTTATGTCACCTCATGTCATATTATATGCTTGCCCAGGTTTTGCTATTTTTTTGTCCCTCCACATGAGTGGAACTTCCTGAGTATGATTTGATTTGAGAGCTCTTGGATGAATTGGGAATAGTTCCTGGGCTACATATGAGGAGGAGGGCCAAATCAACAAAGTTAGCGGGTCTTTTTTAACATATGATCCCAAAGAGGAAAAAGTGAAATGAAAAAATTTCCTAGTTTAAAATGCTTAACTTTTTATTGTAGAAGGAGTAAAATGAAGCAGCAGGAAACTAAGACAGCCCATTACTTCTACCCAGACAACAAAATTAGAAAACAAAATGTCTTCCTAGGTAGTCAAGAAAGAACTTTACTCTCATGATGTTGGGTTTCGTCTCACTGGAAATACATATCTTAATCAAAACCAAACCAAATTCAAGGGAAGACATTTTCTGTTATGCACATACATTTTCATTTAGTCTGTGGTTACCTTAACTGTGAGCTGTTTGAAGCGACCAGTCTTAGCACTATCGACTACTTTTTTCAGGCTCTTAATAGCTGCAGGGATCTCAGCAGGGGTTGGAGGAACCAGCTCCACCCTGGCATAGTGCCAAAATGTGGCCAATCGAGGCTTCGAATAAGTCACAGCAGC